CTGAGGGCTCTGACAACAGGGAAGGAGGGGGGGTCGGGGGCGCCCTGAGGGCTCCGAGGGGGGTCAGGGGCTCTGAGGGCTCTGAAGGGGAAGGAGGGTCGGAGACTCCGTGAGGTTGGGGGGGCTTGTGATGGGGGCTCTGAGGGGGGACATGGGGCTTGGGGGCCCTGGAGGCGCACCTCCTGACAACAAGGGGCTTCCAGGGGCTCCCTGCGGACGCTCTGGGGAAGCCCCCAGGGGGGCTCCGGGGGCGACTGGAGTCCCTGCGAAAGTTTCGAAGATGTCTCGAGCGGGGCGCCCCTCCTTCATCTCGTCGCCAGTAGTCCGACCAACAAGTCGTTTTCAGAGTCCTCGGGCGCGCGGCCCAGGTGCCACAGAAGTATGGTTGTTGGGTCCTCGCCAGACTAAGTTTCTATTTGAAGTTAACGTCGGGGGGAAGTACCGCTTACAGTTCTATGTGTGGTCAGCAGTGCTTGGAGCGCGCCAGTCGACTGATCAGCAATGACAAGCATCATAACCCATTGCGTTTTGTGCTTCTGCATAACAAATCGAATCTCCAGATTCCTGGTCATTACTTGAAGTCGGAAGCGGGCAATCGCGACTACAGCCTGGGGTGCCCGAAGTGCAGGAATGTACCAAAAGGCTGGATGGGGCGGGTTGCGTGAAACATGTTGATGAAGAGTCAGGTATTCGAGAAGGAACCCAAGAGGGTAGCAATGTATGTTGAGAAGAATGCGTGGCGCCCAATGTACATACATCTCTCGACGCCTCGCCTCCCCGCCCCCTTGATCCACCAAATTACCCACTCCCCCTCTCCCCTCCCCTCCCTCCAAGGCGGGCCGTGCCCGACCGAATGCTCACGTGTGCCGGGCCGCGCCTGGCGAAATTCTCTGTTACAATTGCTATCGCATTTCATTTAATGCGTGTTTGTGCAGACGTCAGGCTGTGGGCGGTGCCGCGCCTTCGCCGACAGCAACGACAAGGGGTTCTTCCGCAGCGTCCCGGACAACTGGGTGGTCCGCCACAGGGCCGCGTGATGGCAGGTTTTGCAGGGTGGGTTGCGCAGCTGGCCAGACAGCAAAGACACTCACGGTGGCTGCCAGCATGCTGGCATGCGGCCGCTTAGCATTCGTCGTCGTCATCGTTAGTAAAAAAAATGTGTCCAATGCCGCCTTAGAAGCCTCGGGGCCCATCTGAGAAGCCCCCTGCCTGCTGAGAAGGCTGCGCCACGCAATGGGCTTGAACCAAAATGGCCACGGACATCTTGGAGTGGAGGGAAGAAGAACAAGAAGGGAGGAGGGGGCGGTTAGGAGGAGGGGTATGAGGAGGAGTGAAAAGGAATCAGAGGGTAGTAGGAGGAGGGGATGACGAAATGAATGGTGGGTAGTAAGATGAAGCGGTTGTGTGAGTCAGAATTGTTCACGCTTCGCGAACCCCCGCCAGCCCATCCTAAATTAGCCATCTTTGCGAAATGCTCTGCTTATCGGAAGTTGCGCTCTTTGCCTGGGCACTGGAGGCCAAGCGCGAAGAAGACGACGACGACGACGACAGGAGTCAATATCAGCACTTTTGCTATCGTTCGCTCTGGGGGTGTCTTGTAAACCTCTGCAGGCCATCGTAATGTGCGACGACGACGGCTACGTCGAAACCGACGACGACATGAGTCAATATCAAGACATTTGCGATCGTTTCCTCTGGGAGCGTCTTGTTGTGACCCTCTTTTTAGAAGGGAATGGAAAAAGGAACCTGTTTAACACGCTCACGCCCTAAAGGGCTGGTGGGATTGCGGTGGCACGCGCTGCGTTCTCTGGGCGTGGGGGGTCATGCATCATGGTCAGCTGTAGGGCCCAAGGGAGCACAACTTATTGCGTTTCTCATGTCGGTTTCCTCTGATGCAACCCTGCCTAGTGCACCTCCTGATAGTATAGGGGATGATGGAAATGACGCTTTGCCGGAAGAAAGTAATAGCGCTGGCATAAGTGATGCATCCCTTCCAGACGAGCAGTCTGACCACGATTGCATGGAGAGTGAAGGGGACTCGTTGCCTGGCGATGTTGAGGAGGAGACGCGCGAAGACTTCGGGGAAGCTTTCGTGGATGGGGATGAGGAGCAGGAGGCCATGCAAGCAGCATTCCATGCCACTACGAAGGATCGTCACAGCGTGCCTCTGCCAACAGAGTGCAATTTGTTAGGTCCACATGACATTGCAGAAGTGTATTCGCCGCCAAGGCTGTTGCCAGCAGCCAGAAGACTAGGGCTGTCTGGAACCCTGTCGTGCGACATCCTGACAGGGTGGGATTTCAGTCAGACTAGCATCAAAGCTAAATTCTTCGAGTTTCTTGTTCAGCTCAACATACTGTTCATAATGATGAGCCCACCATGCACTATGTTTTCAGCGCTGCAAGCTTTATGGAATTTGAAGCGCATGAGCAGGGATGTCGTTGACAGGCGCATGAAGGAAGCGCTTGGCTTCATCGAGCATTGCATGGCACTCGCGACGACCCAAATAGAGAGATCGAATTTCTTTTGCTTCGAGCATCCAGCGTCTTCTAGTGCTTGGAAGTTGGAATGTGTTCAGGAGGTAAGTCGGCTCCCTGGGGTATTCAAGATCAAATTCGATCAATGTCAATGTGGCTTGATGACCCCGCTTGGTCGCCGTCCAATGAGGAAGCGCACAATTTTGATGTCTAATGCCCATAGCATTCGACGCAACTTCTCGAATCTCATGTGCAAAAGAGATCACGAGCATCAGCTTGTAATGAACAGTGAGTGCGGTATGAAGCTTTCTGTCTGGGCCCAAATGTATCCCCAGCCAATGATCGAAAAGCTGGTAGAGTCTGCAGCAGAGCTCAGACGTAATCGTGGAGGCTAAGCATCCACGTGCACGTTGCGCCTGCGAACTTTTGAGCAGGCCAATGGATCTGATTGCATCGTGCGCGGGCGCAGCGGTGATGTAAACATTTCCCCCCTCTTGCCCTTCCCCCCCTCCCACGATTGTTATCGTCCGCTTTCGCAATGGATTAAATCCAGAAACCCGGCAGATCGCATCGCATTGGGGGGTGGGCAATCCAGCAGATCCAGCAGATCCATCAGATCCAGCAGATCCGGCAGATCGCGTCCCACACGATTCCGGCAGATCTGCGCGGTCCCCGCGCGTGGACATCCCAACAGAACTGCTGGGAAAAATTGATTCCGGCAGATCCAATAGGGTTTGGGCCTCCCCCTCTGCCGTTGGCTTGGTGGGGCCCCGCTGCTGCCCCTCTTCCTCTTCTCATCCTCACCTATGGGGGGGGCGTGATCCAGCGCAACTGGGCGCTGTCCTGAGAGGGGGGGGGGACCTGCCAGGAAAAATTATTTCCTGCTGGTGGTGCTGGCGCGGGCACACATCCAACACATCTTACCCCCGCGATGTGAAGGGGGGGGGTTCTCTTGGATCCCTGCGGCGCCCAGGGGCACCTGCAGGAAAAAATTATTCCTGGCTGTTCTCCCCCCCCCCGCGCACCCCCCCCATGATCTGCTGTGGCGTTGTGGTGCAAGCCTTGGATGCTGCAAAACATCCTGACGCGACACTGTCTGACGCGACACTGCTGAACATCACTTCCTGGCCAAGGCCATGTTCGAAGACGGCGGCGATGAGTCTCAGTACTTCATGTCGCGCCTGGACTTGGGGGGTGTTGGTGGCGGCGGTGCTGATGATGCGGAGACCACCCCAGGGATCATGGATGTCGACACCGCCCAAGGGAATCTTGACGAGCCGGGGCTCTTGGTCAAGAAGTTGCATGAGGAGTTCGAGCCCATGGTGTGCGAGATGGGGGGGCCACGTAAATACATCATGAGTGTCTTGGATGGGGTTCAACAGCAGGGGAAGTTTGCCGAGTGGTGCTGGACCGCTGAGGGGAGGGACTGATGCATGGTAGGATGTGTTTTGTATTGTCCCACTCATTTGCATTCCCCGACCCGCTGCCCACTCATCCCCGTTACCCCTACCCGCAGGAGCGAACACCCACCCGCCATTTGACAGTCAGACAACAGGCGCAACGCATAACATGAGCAAACAGATTGTGTTTCTATAGTTTATGTGGTGGTACCAGCAGTGGGAAGATAGTAACATATAGGTAGCACCCCTACACTATAACGAGTCTGCGTTACTTGTGGAGTGGGTGCAGCTACCTATCAGCTCTCCCATGTGGGTTGCATGTGGATGCCTTTGGTCGTTGAGGTGATTGCACCACTCTTGCGTCTATCTAGCGCGCCATGTTAACATTCGTTTGCATGGCGAATCTAATCTGCTGAGTTTTCCCTTGTCGGCGCTGCCTTGAGGAATACGTTCCCGGAGAAGGATGACGCCTTCTATTGCCATGGCACAGACATCCCCACGGTGAAGGATGAGGAAGAGTTGAAAACGTCTTCTGAAAGCATCAGCTCGGTGCACGTGGCCGCATTGGGATACATGGACTCAGTATCCTTGAAGCCGCCGCCGGGCACGCAGAAATTCAGCAAGTTGCTCGACCAGATGTGCGTGGACGGGTTCGTCACAGGCTCAGAGCCATTGTACATCACGATGCCACAGGAGCTGTCAGACTTGCCCCTTCCGCGCTTCTGGTCCAACCCTCGTAATCAGGCTGAGATAGTGGCGAAATCCATGCTGCTTGCGTCTCAATTCGTGGATATGTGTACATAGATACATATATATGATTGGTGGGAGGAGGAAGAGGAGGGAGGAGGGAGAAGGAGAAGGAGGAGGAGGAGGGAGGCCGAGGAGGAGGCAGGAGGGAGGATGAGGAGGAGGAGGAGAAGGAGGAGGAGGAGAGGAGGGAAGAGGAAGAGGGATGATGATGAGGAGGAGGAAAAGGAGGAGGGAGGAGGATTTCCAGCCCGCGGCGTGATGTCTTATGTACACTGCTCGCCATAGTGGTGGCAATAGTATCCAGGGACCCGGGGGAATTGAAAAACATGTTGGCAGGGCGAGACTTGGGGCCTTTCCTTAAAAGACCATCTAGGCAATAGAAACGCTTGAAACAATTTGTGACCACATTGAGGCTTTAACGCTGGGGACGGCATCTCTCGGCTACATCAAGGGGAACGCGCGCACGGCCACGTTGATTTCGATCCTCGTGTGGTTGTGGGACCACGATGTTGACATCAAGACTGTTCACCCGAAGTTTTACGAGTCTGTCCGCGAGATACGCGTGGTCAGGTTCGAGTGCGCCTCCCTTTTGAGCCAGGCGCTCCTCAACATGAAGTTTTCTGTGCGCGGGAGCATACGAACCTCCAACAACATTATCCAGTGCACCATCATGATTAAGAACCTTGCCAATGCCAACGCGTGCGGCCCCACTGAGTTCGTGAAGAAGTGGAACCAGCAGTCGGGCCAACAGCACAAGTTCACTGCCAAGAGGGTGACGAGCCTCAAGCTGTTGTTCGAGACTGCGCCCCCAGGAGCGCTTCAATCAATTCTTGCCCACGTGGAGGACTGGTGGGTGTTTTCGAATGCCCTCCCACGCCATAAGTGTAGTAACACGAGGAGTTGTAGCAGTAGGAGCAGCAGCAGGAGCAGCAGCAATAGTATTCGTAGTAAGTTGTAGTAGTAGTAGTAGTAGTAGTAGTAGTAGTAGTAGTAGTAGTAGTAGTAGTAGTAGTATTGGTAGTAGTAGTAGTAGTAGTAGTAGTAGTAGTAATAGTAGTAAGTAGTAGTTGTTGTTGTAGTAGGAGGATTAGTTGTAGTAATCGTAGTCGGAGTGGTAGTCGTCGTGAGGCAACGTCTGACACTTGCTCGCTCCCCACATTTCAGACGACTGGTGCGTGGCAGAGGGGGGGAGGGGAAACAGTAGACGTGTGCATGCTTATTCAAATTAGCTTTTCAAACCCATAACCTTGGTCAATAGCTTTGATATGTAGCTCTTGGGGCACCATGCGCAGAATTGTCTTTTTGAGTAATCCAACGTGCTCTGTCAGGAGCACGGCTGGGAGAACTGCTGCTGGAGCGACGACAACCTGTCGAACAAGAAACTGTACCCGGACCACACATTCTCCACCGGCTCCAAGAAGAACTGGGCTGGGCGCCTCAGGACTTCAGCAGAGAGCATGCTACTGGCCGTGCAACGCGCGCACACCGTGCACAATATGAAGCCGTCCTTCATGCGGAGGAAGTTTGACAACACGATGGTGGAGACCATCAGCATGCGCGCCGCGTTCGTATTATCGGTCGCAGCCGAGTTCACGAGCTGTACCCCTGTGCCGGAGGAGCAGGCGCGCAAGGACTTCGTTGACTCATGGGCGAAGGGTTCGGAGCAGATCGATATGGAGTTGTCCAGCGTGCTCGCTGAGATGCCAGAGGACAGTGGTACCAAACTTCATGTAACAGTATAAAAAATAAGAAACTCAACACATACTTGTTTGATTATGCATACATGTTTGAGTCAGGACTTCGACCCATGCAAGCACATCCCATCGCTGAAAAACCTGTTGGACATGCACATTTTCCAGGCGCCTATGGGAAATGACGAGGGTAAGAAGGAGCAGCTGCACATTGACGAGTTCCAGCTGTGGAGCCGCCAGAGCGAGTTTGATGTCCGCGCGTTCCAGACGTGGCGCAAGAAGATCAACATCGAGGTCGGCTCCAGGAAGGCCAGAGAGCAGGAGATGAAGATGGAGAGGCACAACCAATGCAAGCAGGCCGCGGACACCTTCCTCCGGAGCTGTGTCAAGCTCACCTGTCAGACGCAGCCAGAGAAGCTCGTCGCAGAGCTGATCGACTGGAAGCGTGGCCAGATTGCTGCGCGGACTGGGTGCGCAAACATCCCACACGTGGCAGGGCTAAAAACATACCGATACCACCCGCAATAATGGTGACACAATAATGTGAAGAGGGTGACGATGACGACGATGGTAACTACGATATGGGCGAATGTGATAGGGTGAATGATGATGATGAGGGGGAGGAGAAGGAGGAGGAGGAGGAGGAGGAGGAGGAGGATGGGAACAGGAGGGCGGAATAATATAGGATAGTGAATAGCAATATCAGTAGCAGTTACACCAGAAGCGTGAACAACAAACATTACGAGAAGCAGGATGTCGGTGGGCGTGATGCAGTGAGCTGCGCTCTGCCAGGTCTTGGTTGGGCAGATAGCCTAAGGGGCCCCCGCTGGAACTCCAACAACACTGGAAGTAAACGTTTGCCCCCCTGGCCTCCTACAGAACCCCGTGCGTCCTACGAAAGAGCGTTGAAACATATAGGAGGAAGAGGAGGAGGAGGAGAAGGAGGAGGAGGAGGAGGAGGAGGGGGAGGAGGAGGAGGATGAGGAGGGAGAAGGGGGAACTGGAGGAGGAGGAGGAGGAGAAGGCTTTTTGGTTTTCCCAGGTGCTGTTAACGAACTGGTCAGCTCCATGCCGCATCACCGAGGTGCAGTTCAACAACCATATCCACGTCATGGCCTGGGCGGTGGCTGAGTCTCCAGATTCGGCTGGCGTTGTGATGATGCCGACCTGGGCGTATGGCCATGGCAAGTTGGCCCTTGAGGAAAACAAGGCCATGAAAAAACTGACAGAGGCAGGCGTGTTCAATGTTGACTACAACTTCGTGGCGGTGTTCAAAGACCAGATAGACCCTCGCGATGGCCGACCGATGATCCACCCAGGCCGCATCGTGCTGCCAAACACAATCAGCCCGAACAAGCATCCTTTCTTCTCGAGCGAGCTCTTGAAGACCAGGAAGACGCCAGAGGTCGCGCAACTTAACAGCCGCCTCTTGAAAGCCATGGAGGACCTCAACCCGAATAGCCTGCCTACCAGCATCAATGCGGCCAACACCGCCATCCATGGAGCTGCCAAGTACTCGCAGATAGGCCCGGACGCGTGTGGCGTCATCATTGCCGAGCTCGTGAAGGGCTCTGGCGTTGCTAACTCCGCTGCCATCTTGTGCGTTGACTTGGTCGCGGACGTGGGGGACTGGCTCTTCGGGTTCATCAACACCAGGCGGACGTACAGTACATCGATGTTCTACTTCGGCATTACCTCGAACCAGGTCGAATTGGATTGGCTGGAGGCCCACGCCAGGGATGAGATGACCAGGAAGTTCTCTTTGGGCGAGATCCCGCTCCCCGGCGGCATGAAGTTGAAGGACCCTTAAAGGGAACATGTTAATAATATTCCTCCCTGCTTAAGGGGAAATAATGATGGCCATGACGACGGAGGAGGGGCAGGATGATCTGGTTGAGCAAAACAGGCTACAGAAGCAGAGGAGAGTGAAGGAGGGGGGGGAGGGGGTGGGGGGAGGAGAGGGGCAAGGAGGGCGAGGGGGAGGAGGAGAGGGGCAAGGAGGGTAAGGAGGAAGAGGAGGAGGCGGAGGAGGAGGAGGAGGACAGACAGACAGACAGAAGGGCTGTCCTCGCTTGCCGGCGCCGCGCCGGCGGCCACGAGCAAGACCACGACGACGCCGCCGAGGCAGAGGGCACCCCGCCCGCGCCCGCCCCAAATAATCACCATCAGGAGCCCCATGCAGTTCCAGGACCCCCCAGGGACGCACGTGGTGGACTCCTAATGGGGCCCTCCTAGGGAGTTCCAGAGAGCCCGAAGGAGCATTTAAAGGAGGCCCAAGTAGCCACAGAGAGCCCCAGAGAGCCCCAAGCAATTCCAGAAAGCCCATGGTAGACTTTGCCACCTCCACCCAGTGGTGGAGGAGGATGAGCAGGGGGAGGATGAGGAGTGAATCGGATAACGATGTCACTACTATGCAACTTTAGATCGCACCCCATAGGAGGTCACCCCTGCTGAAACGGACATGCCGGCGATACCGACGCTGCATCAGTTGGTCATCGGGGGCGCCAACAAGGATCTTGATCAATTCCTCTCTCTCACACTCTATGTCCCCTCCCATCCCTCGTCGAACCCCATCCCCCACCTCCTCTGCCCTCGCCGCACCCTCCTCCATCTTAGGACAAGCTGTACATTCACAAATCGATGGTCACAAAGTGGCTCAGCATCCCCACAGTGTCTGCGGGATTCCAAGCGTGGCTGGACACCTTCACTGAGCAGGGGTATCTTATCATGGACGAGGAGGCTCAGAAGCAGGAGGCCGAAACCAAGAAGCGGGGCAACAACCCCACTCCCGAGGAGAACTCCTGCCCCTCGCCGGTCAAGAAGGCCAAGGTGGGTAGGGGGCTCCTGCGCCCTCAATCGGTCAGTCAGTCAGCAGTCAGGCAGTCCTCCTCCTCCTCGAGCCTCCTGCTCTTCCACACCCTGCTGTTGCAGACGCTGTTGCTGTATCTGTTGCTGCTCGTCCTCCTTCCTCGTCCTCACGTTATTCCTATTCTTCTCTCTGGTCCAGTTCCTTCTCTTCATCATCATCCCCTTCTGCCCTCTCCTCCTCTTAATGCTACTGCTCCCCCTCCCTCCCCGCCCGCCCCTCCCTCCCTCTGTCCCTCATCCTATCCTTCGTCAAAGGTCCTCACCCTATCCTCTGTCCATCATCCTATCCTCTGTCCTTCATCCTATCCTATCCTCTGTCCCTCTGACCCTCATCCTGTCCCTCTGTCCCTTTGTCCCTCCTCCCCCTCCCTCCCTTCCTCTCCGCGACGACGACGACGAAGGGTCAAGGGACCCTTCGTCATCGTCGTCGTCGTCGGCGGCGGCTCGTCGTCGTCGGGGAAGGGGAACGAGGAGGCAGGATGAGGATCGATGAGCGAGGAGAACACCGACAAGGGAGGGAGGAGGAGGAGGAGGAGGAGGAGGAGGATGAGGAGGAGGAAGACGATGAGGACCATGGTGACCGTGATGATGGTAATGGATGATATCAAAATCTTTGGAGAGAGAAGAGAGAGAGAGAGAGAGAGAGAGAGAAACAAGGAAGTGGAGGAGGTGGGGGAGGAAGAGGAGGATGAGGACCTTGTGCCCCCATCCCGCCGCCACCAGGCGGAGGAGTTCGGCGTCCACACCTGTGGGATCACGTTATCCCCAAAGGTCCCGACCGTTTTATTTCGACCCCCCGGCCGCCCGCAACTCCAAGGGGGGCCGCCCGCATGCGTCACCCACACCTATTTCGGCACGGCCCTCACACGTTTCGTGGCCCCATAGGGAGCACCACCACCACCGAATGTCCCAGTGACGTCGCCCGCATGCGCCACCCACCACACCAATTTTTTTGGCGCCCCCTGACACGTTTCGGGGCCCCAAAAGGAGTTCTTCCACGGAAGATCCCAGTGGGGCCGCCGGCATGCGTCGCCCACGCAAATTTGAGCACACCGCTCATCACACGGCGTTTCGCGGCCCCATAGGGAACTCCACCACCGAAGGTCCTGGGGGAGGGGACACCCGTCACATGTTTCGCCGCCCACGCCCACCATGACGGCACACCCCTTAAATGTTTCTTCGTGGCCCCATAGAAGAGAGCTCCACCGAAAGTCCTGGGGGAGGCCGCCGGCATGCGTCGCCCACACCCACCATGATGTCGGCACGCCCCCCACATGTTTGTGGCCCCATAGAGCCCCATTAAAAGTCCTAGTGGGGCCGCCGCCCGTCGTTTGCGTCACCCACACCCACTTCGGCACACCTTGCACGCGTTTCTTTGTCCCATAGGGAGCTCCACTGAAGGTCTCAATAATGCCACCGCCGCCCGCATGCGTCTGCCACACATTTTTCGGCACACGTCGTTTCGTGGCCCCGAAGGGAACTCCACCGAAAGCCCCCTGTGCCACCGCCCACCACATGATGCGTGACCCACACCCCCCCTGTCGGCACACCCTCACACGTTTCGCGGACCCACAGGAAACACCACCGAATGCCCCCGTGCCGCCGCCCCCATGCGTCACCCACACGCATGTTGGCAAGCCCTGCACACGTCCCCTGGCCTCAAAGGGAGCTCCACCGAATGTCCCAGTGGGGGGGGCCGCCTGCATGCGTCACCCACACAAATCAGTTCGGCACTCCTCTCACACGTTTCGTGGCCGCGCAGGGAGCTCCACCGAAGGTCCCAGTGGGGCCGCCTGCATGCGGCACCCACCCGCGCGAGTTTTGGCACACCCTTCACATGTTTCGTGGCCCCAGAAGGAGCTCAACCGAAGGTCCGCCCAGTGGGGCCGCCCACATGAATCACCAACGCCCATATCGGCAAACCTTTCACACGTTTTTTTCTCGGGACCCCATAGGGAGCCCCACCGAAGGTCTCAACGCTACCGCCTGCATGCACCACCTACATCCTCACACGTTTCGTGGCCCCATAGGAAGATCCACTGACGAAGTCCCAATGGGACCGCCCGCATGCGTCACCCACACACACCCCATGTCGGCACACCCCTCACCCCTCCTCCATCGTGGCCCCATAGAGAGCTCCATCGTGGCCCCATCATAAGGAGCTCCACCGAAAGCCCCCTCCC